AAAAGAACTAGTAAGTGGAATAGTTTGATATATTGTAATACACACGAGAGCACCATTTGTGGGGAGCACAGAATAATCAGTTTCTTACAGCACTAGAATTGAGAGGCCCTCACAGAGGAGGTGGCATTTGACTGGGCTTTAAAGGCCCATATTGAAGTTCTAAATATAAACAAAATAGGAAAAACATTTCAACCAGAGCTAAGGACCAAATAACGAAAAAAGAAATACTGAATTACAGATGTTGGGGTATGTTCAGAAAATCTGGTATAGCCACCAAATTGAGGAAGTAGAAAAAGATGAATTGGGAATATGGAATACAGAGATGTGTCAGGTCAATGTGGCCCTCTTGTATGATTTACATAATCTGTGCCTTGGAACTATTCCAGTCTCAAGAATATGTCTAACCTGGAAATTGCTGTCCTTCAAATCTGTGATTTGGTTTCTTGACAGATTGCCAGTTTGAGTGATGAGTAACAATAGTCTAAGAAAAGCTTGTCGTCTTGTCTGTACCTGGCTCTGATCTCCTTCCCATTCTTTCATATTCTTATGCTGCTGATTGTGCTAAGAGATTATGGTGCCACGTCCTTGATAAACATCTGTTAAAAAATATCGTAATGAATCATACGTGCCTGCACACACACACACACACACGGATACAAATGAAGAAACTGCCGTTGCTTCTCGAACATTCACAGTTAACGAATGTGTGTCAGCGTTAAAAATAATGTTCACTTGAATGTTGCTAGGAACACTCAAATAGAAAATAAACTTCTTTGACCTTTTGTTGTTTTCCCACAGGATTGAAAAAACGTACAAGGAAGGCCTTTGGAATACGGAAGAAAGAAAAGGACACTGATTCTACGTATGTACTTGAGGAGAGCATCAGCGCTCAGTGTCAGCTGTGACTGTGTAGAAATGCAGATCTGCTGTGGTCTCTGTATGGCAGAATAATGAGCCCATTAAACCCCTGATTTGGCTAGAAGTCCTGAAAGGAGGTTAGAAAATGGGAAAATCAATAGCTGTTTAGGCATAGGTGAAAAGGAAGAGAGCTACGTTTGTTTCTCATCTGTAGCTTTTCATTCTGCACATTTTTATCATGCATAAATTTCATCACAGGGTGCCGAGTATTGCCCTGCATTCTTGCCTTCCAAGAATTTATAATTCATGGACAAAATACCTGTCACACAAATTGAAGTATCTTTCATGTAACTAGAAGAGCTAACATTTGACATGACTAGCATGGTACCTAGTACTTAGTAAGTGCTCAGTGAATGGCAGAGGCCACTACGCTTATTACTACTTAGACAAATTAATACGTGGCAAGTTCCTTATGAGCAATTAAAAATGGAATTTCGTGGGAATTTGAGGGCGGGAAAGCTCATATTTGAACAGATGATCAGTGAAGCTTTGGAGAAGGAGGAACCTTGAGTTTGGCCTTCGAGAAGTGAGGACATGTATTTCC